AAAATACCCCCCCTCCTTCTCTTTTTTCAAATTGTTAAAATCAATTGTCCAACCAAAATAAAGCTTATTTTATGACAAATTCAACCATATATAATAACATTATGTTTGGAAAAGGCAATATTGAAAAAAAAATTAAACATGCTCTTATATGTATGCTACGCGTACCAAACTTAAGGATTCGCTACTTGACGATGGCATTTCTTTCTTCCTCAAATCTTCCTCATAATTGCAAACTGTAAAAGATAAGGAAGGAAGAAAATAGAAAATCTAAAAAAGCAATAAAGTTGATGTTAAGAAGTAAGTAGGAGAAAAATAGCATGATAAGGATACAGTCACTAATATTTAAAAATGTTATAAATTATAAAATTTCACGTAATAGACGTTTATCTTGCCAACATTGCGGCTACCTTTTTCATTAATTTAAACGACACGCGTAAATATAAATAAATATGTGTGTGTGTGTATGTGTGTTTTTGTACGTGCGCACGTGTGTGTACATCATGGCAACATGCAAAACACTTGTCACAAGTTTTATGACTGTGCGACCAAAATAGCACTCTTTATCAAGTACAGTGCAATCAAGGTTCATTATATTGACATATGTTATCTTCATTCATTTGCATATAAAAGCTGTCCATTTTGGAATACATTTCAGTGTTATTGAAGCAGTTATTGAAGCAGTACGTATATTATTATTGCTGTGAGAAATGTTTAATTAAAATATCCTTAAGATTTGTATCATAATGTCAGTAATAAATCCAGCTAATGTTATTAATTTGTTAATTGCGACATTTCATTTCACAAATATTGCAATAACTCCTGTTAATCATCAAGAGGTGGAACTCCATGATACAATTACTGATTTAATAAAGAGTGCTATACATCACGATATTACGATCGAACATGAGTGGGGACTTGATTTTGACGATTCATCAGAACCGCATGACGTACATTTTGTAGATGTGTACGATATTGATGCTGAAGAAGATAATTATGGAAATGAAGTTTGCACTGTGGATGATGAAGGTGGAAATGTAAACTTAAATTATAAGAAAAGGGCAATCGAATTTTGGAAGAGTGGAAAGAAAGGACATTTATCTCTTACTTCTGTATAACATCGTTTTAGAAAAGTAAAGTTTAATTAAAAAATAAGAAGAATAATATATAGTAAAATACTTGAGGCTTTTACGGTGTACAGTGACCGGCAGTGATTCGCTCCGCGACAGAGAGAACTCTATTTCCCCTCTCGCGGAACGCATCATTGTCGGTCATTGTACATACAGCTTTACTATAAGTATAAAGCATCCCAAAAAATTTATTTAAATTGTGTAACAAAAACATACTATATGAATATATGGAGAACATAATATAGTATACGAGTATATGGAAAAATAATATAATAAAAAAATATAATATAAGAATATGTGGAAAATAATATTTATTTTACAATATTTATTGTAATATAATATAATATTAATATAATATAAATTATAATATAAATATAATATACACATTATATTATAAAATATTAATATAATATTTATTGTAAAGAGATTATATATTTACTATGAGTATATGCATTGATTTCTAGGAAAATACAATGAGTTAGAGATGCTTTATACTTATGACCAAAGCTGTAAATTATATAGTTAGAGTCGCGTTGTTTTTTATTTTAAGTTTTACAATTTGATGTTTCGTGAACATTTAATTCGTATATAACTTCTTTTATTTTTGAATTCGAATTGTTTAATATTGAGATTTATTTTCTTCTAGGTAAAATCTATTCAACAATTGCACAGATGGCAAGAACATGTAATGCGTGGGGGTTCAAATACAGACAAACTTGTAGTTATTGCTGAATATGTTCTTATAAAATTCCAAGAAGCTGTTAATAGAGGACTTATTATTCATGATATAAATCTGCGAAAATGGGCACTAGAAGCAAAGGATCAAGTGGATTTTTCTTCATTTAAAGCAGGAAATTGGTGGATATGGAATTTTAAAAAGGCACATCGTATTACATCACGTAAAATAACTGCATTTAAAACGCGGTCTTCTCATTTAACTGATCTAACTATACGTCAAAACGCTGAGGAATTTGTAAATACAGTAAAGCCACATATTAATGTAATCGGTGCTGAATCAACTTATAATGCGGACGAAAGTGGCTTTAATTTAGAAATACATGCAGGAAGAACATTAGCTAATGTAGGAGTGAGAAGACAGTTGGAGCTACTATCCAATCTTTATCTGCTATGACTCATAGCTACACCATTATGCCTATTATATCTGCAGATGGACATCTCCTTTCGCCTTTGTATATAGTATTAAAAGAATCTACTGGTGTTTTTGGACCACAAGTAGAACAAACTCTTTTTAAACCAGTGAATATTTACATTGCGGCTTCAAAATCAGGGAAATTGACAACTGAACATTTCAAAAATTGGTTCCAAGAAGTGTATCTACCAAACACTGGAGAGAAAAGTATACTACTGCTTGATTCATGGACAGGACATTGCCCGAACCAATTGGAAGAACTTGTACCAAAAGACAAACATGCAAATATTCTAACAATACCAAAAAAAACAACTGCTTTTATACAGCCATTAGATGTTTTTGGTTTCAGAATCTGGAAAAATTTTGTTCGAAGCTTTTCTGATAGTGTTATTATAAATAATTATGACATAAATTTACATTTACGTAATAACATAATAAAATTGCAATCTTTAACACACAATCAACTGTCTTCTCCAAGATTTCGAAATTTATTTAGATATAGCTGGTATAAAAGTGGTTATTTATCAACACGGCCTGAAAAATTTCATAATCCAATCGATTATTGTTATTTTAAAGAAGAAAAACGTATACCAAAATATAGCATTTGTGGTAAAATGGCTTTTATACGTTGTGCATGGTGCAAGCAATATTTTTGTTTTGAACATTTCTTTGAGCAATATCATTATTGTAATAATTATATAGAATAAATAATATTTTACTGTCCTCAATTCCTGTAAAATTTGTATATATTATAATCCATATCAAAATATAAGATATCTTTCACTCGAATATCTATATCGACTACTTAATTAATAAAACCTATATACTGAATGAAGCAAAACACATACACACAAATGTACACTGAATAAATTTATAAATTATATTTTTCATTATTAAATCCGTGTGTGTTCTCCTTTTTTCTTCATATCATTCATTTCCTTATTTGTTCTTTACAATTGAATTTAAAAGATTATCTATATTAGGGTTATATACACTCTCTCTGCGTCCTCCTTTTCATGCTGTTCTTCTTCAACTTACTTCTTAACATCAACTTTATTCTTTTCTTAGATTACCTGTTTTTATTCCTTCCATACCTTTTGCAGTCAGTAATTATGAGGGAGAAAGAAATGCCATCGTCAAGCAGCGAACCCATAAGTTTGGTACGCGTAGCATATATATAAGAGAATGTTTAATTTTTTTTTCAATATTGCCTTTTCCAAACATAATGTTATTATATATGGTTGAATTTGTCATAAAATAAGCTTTATTTTGGTTGGACAATTGATTTTAACAATTTGAAAAAAGAGAAGGAGGTGGGGTATTTTATACATAATTTTACATTTTTAAAAAATCTAAATATAGCATAATAAAGTACTTTTAAAACCATAAAACTTTTGTCTAAAACATTTTTTCATATCTTTAATAGTTTCGATAATATTCGCTTAGAAAGACAAAAATCAACTTTGTTCAAGGGATTGTTTCCACCCTTAAAACCGTTTTTGGGCACCAACGAAAAATTGTTTTGTTATTAGGTATATCTGCTCTACAATTATGCAGAGTTTCAGATTTTTTTGAATTTCCGCGTTGCCGAATGTCCCTTGTTAGACATTTCTTCTGAATGTTGTTAAGACGAAAGGATTTTCGTGAGTCTGTACATATTGAAAGTAAAGCGGAGTTCTTCTTTTCCTCTAATACTGTGTCGGTTCATTTCGCGGACCTGGTACGCGCGAGACGGATACGCGCAACAATATTACCAAGCGGTTAATCAATTCTTTGATATCAACATTTTCATTTTTTTTTAATTTGGAAAAAAGTAAGAGATGTTTGAAATTAATGTTTGCGACTCTTAATATGGACGTAAAGGATTATCTGTTATAATAAACCGCATTGCAAAAACGCGATTTCACTTCTAACTCTCCTCTTGTGAATAAAAAATGTTTAATAAACACAGATAAAAAAATCAATTACAACCTAAAGAATTACAAACATTTTCCAATTTTGGTAACAGAAGTTATATGTTTGATTCTGCTGATAGTATACGATGAATAAACAAACGAGTGTCTTATTATATTAATACTATTTTACTATTGTTTTATTTCCGATAATTGTTCTATATACCCTTCTTTTTCTACACTATATATTCGAGCGTGTTATTTTCACATGTATGTACAAGCGTATAATCAACTGAAGCTTTCTTTACACGTGGTCTTAAATCATGTCATTTGATATGTTTAAATGTCATTTAATATATTTATATTCTCTAATTCGAAGATGTCAAGCACATATAGAAATATAGAAAGTAGAAAGTAGAACACGTAGAACAGTTATTGTAAACAAAGCAAAATTCCTCAGAAGAACATTTTATTTTACCTACATGTATACAGGATAATAGAATGGATGTCTCAAGAGAAATTTTTTAAGACACCCATTTTCCTTTTATAAAATTAATTCGCAGACAAATTTTACACGTCATGACATGAAAGAGGAAACTAGAATTACGTGTCTCAAACAGCAAGTTCTACTATTGACGCACACGCGCCAAGAAAACGATATTTGACCCCTATTATATATTCACTATGATGCGTTATTCTAACATTATGCAACGTTCTAATTTACAATCGAACAAAAGAAGAGCGATGAAATAGCAAGAACGACGGAGCGCTTCTAGGCGATGGAAAAGAGGGAGAGCGACCGGAACAGGAAGACAATGAATATAAACGTGATGCTCGTTGTCGACATTGGATATAAAATGTTGATGTTCATGTGCACGGTAGTAATCGCATCGAGGACATCGGTATATTCGTGTCTATCGATCGAGGTTTCACAAGCATCTTTGTTCCAGTGATTCGATCAACAGCAACTAGTATTCAGTCTCAAGGTATGTACTTGCTGTTCTGAGGATATTTTGCGAAATGACATAACGTAACAGTTGGCAATATTATAAAGTTCTATTTTACGTTAGCAACGTGCAAAGAAGACAACACATTCTCGAATCCGGGTTTATATTACAATATATACTACTCAAAACAATTAGGGGAGCGCTTCAAAACTTGCAAAATTTGATAGTTTTTAAGAAGCCATATTTCAGCTTAGGGAGTCGTAGAACCATGTTCTAGGGCGCATTTTAACAGGTGAAGCCTTGACTTTAAAGAGGCTAAAGTTTTATTATTCGTCTCATCCAACTGTTTTTCTTGTGAGACTCAAAATCAGGTCGTGAAAAAATTTTGGAAATTTCATGATTTTATAGCCATACACAAATAAAACAGGGATAGAAATAAAAATGGCACCACACTCGCTTCGAAATGGGAAACTTCCCCTTTAACCCTTTAACGCCCGTCTTTTTTATAAGTGTTTTAAGAATAAAATTTAAGTTTTTTTCAACTGAGACTATAAGTAGTGATAACCAAAAAAATATCAGAATTTTATATCTACGAAAAATTATCTTTCCAATGTAAAGTAATGTAAAGTAAAATGTAAAGTAATAGTCTACTTCTGAACGAGTGAATTTGTATTATTTTGTAAATATAACGGTAAAAATGAAAAACACACTCAGAAATGGTTATCCAGATGGAAAAACCGTGAAACAATTACACGGAATATCAGCAGCAATCGTTTATTTCTGAATAAACGAGTACATGAAGTTTCCACTTTTCGTTTGTTGGTTTCGTTAGTTTGGTTCTTTTTATCGTTCGTTTTTTATTTATTTGTAAATATGATTTGGATCCTAAAAGCATATACGAAATGAGCAACCTATACAGAGAAAAATGAACGGTAATCTATACGACATAACTCTGATAGTCAGCTTGACATTTTTTAGCTGAAACTTTACTATTAGGTGTACAAATTAATTCTCGGCCTTTTTTGATCAACCTTGACATTTATTTATAGAAACATAAATACAAACTCAATCTTTAAAGTAATCTTCTTCGTTTTCTGTACATTTTTGCCATCTCTTAGGCAATTGTCGGATTCGAGATCGAAAAGAAAAATGATAGTGGTTTTAACCCATTAACGCACAAAAGTCCTAAAATATCCTACAATGTCAGCCTTACTTTGCAACTGTATTTTATGTAGAGAAACATATTATATAAGATTCGAATATCATTTCTTTATTCGTTTTCGAGGTCGTTCTACAAGATTCCGGCATCAGAATTCGTTTAGATTCACAATAAAATCCAATATGGCGGAATATATGGAAAAAAGTCGTGAAAAATCTGCAGTTTTATCTCTTATAAGCTTGATTTCGTATCAAAAACGTTACTTTGATACAGATTTTTATCTGTATCAAAGTATCACATCTTGTCCCCATAAATGTTGAACTTTCAAGGTATGCATTGGTGAAAATGTGTATTCAAGATAGCTGCCTCAAAATGACGGTTTGAGCGAAAAAACTTAAAAATAATGTATTTTTAGAATAACTTTGCAAAATCCTAGTATTTACTATCAATTTAGCATTCAGAGTACTGATTTTAGGATATTTGCTGACAATTACCCTGGCGGAAATATTTCTACAAGAAACTGCGTGAATTGGAACACTTTCAGAGAAAGTAAGAGATCGTTTCAGACTCTGTAAGAATTCGAAAAGCTGCGTTTCTATGAAATTCTTTATTCATTGCCTGAGTAATTATGCAATTTCTTTCTTTTCTCTAAACATTTACCTTGAAATACTGAAATGTTCCTAGAAATAAAAAATGAAGAGTGGTAAATATGGAGAAAAGGGACCACCCTTCCAATGTCAATAATTTTCATATTTGTCATTAAGGTCATTACCCCATTAATATTATGAAGATTAACATATTGTTATAAACAGTAACCGCAAGCTATAATCTTATATTATAGCTTGCTATACTCTTATATTATAGCTTGCTATAATCTTATAGCATTTCAAAGTCACCTTTACATTTTGCAAAATTTTTAGCAACACCGCCGGCACTTGCGTTATCCGATGTGCACCACGGGTAGGTTGCTCAGTCGGATTTTGCACATTATGTATATGGTGTATGTGTACGTAATATGAGTGTACGTGATGTGTGTGTGTGACTTTGAAATGCAACAACTCGGCTCCAATGTATGATAGAACAATGTTCCTTGCGACGTTTTAAAGGGGAAGTTTCCCACTTCAAAGCGAGTGTGGTGCCATTTTTATTACCATCTCTGCTTTATTCGTGTATGGCTACAAAATCATGAAATTTCCAAAATATTTTCACAACCTGATTTTGGGCCTCACAAGAAAAACAGTTCGATGAGACGAATAATGAAACCTTAGCCTCTTTAAAGTCGAAGCTTTACCCGTCAAAATGCGCTCTCGAACATTGTTCTACGATCTCCCCAAGCTGAAATATGGCTTCTTAAAAATCATCAAATTTTGCACGTTTTGAAGCGCTCCCTAATTGTTTTGAATAATATATATTAGGTATATTTTTCTTACGCGAAAAGATTGCTCATGGAATAAAATTGTTGATTTATCCTACGTCCCGTTTGATCGTTTTGTTTATTTGTGTCCGAGAGAGCAAAATACATTTTGCACTATGTTTTCAGTACGAATAGATTTGTTAGTGAGACAAAAATATGGAAGACAGCAAAAGTTATAACCCATACGAGAAAATGCCGCCGGGTGAAGAGATTGTGATTTCTGGTATGGCCGGTCGATTTCCCGATACAGACAATATAAAGGAGTTGCAAGAAAATCTTTTGAATATGATGGACCTAGGTTCGGACGACAATCGACGATGGGAAAATGGTAATATACAGATACAATTTGAATAAAATATTAAGGGAAAAAACAAAATAGAAAAGAAAATAGTAGCAATACTGCAGATTATAGTCATAGTATAAAAATAAATGTTTGGCATTTTTACAGCTAATTATGACATGCCGGATCGATCAGGAAAGGTTAATAATATAAACAAGTTCGACGCAGAGTACTTTGGTATTTCATCTGTGGAAGCGCATATTACTGATCCTATGTGCAGGATGTTGCTCGAGCACACTTATGAAGCACTTAACGACGCCGGTGTAAATCCCAAAGAATTACGAGGAACGAAAACTGGTGTCTTTATAGGATCGTGTTATTCTGCATCGTCCACCATAACTCTTCTTACCATGCCTCAGGTACACTAGATGATTTCAGATGATTTCATATCTCTAATATAAAAGCAGTTCTGGAACTGCCAAATATAATGGAAAGAAACATTCTTTTATTAATAATATTATAAACAAACATTCTATTGCTACTTTAATAAATATTTACCTTTTTTAAAAATTATCCCTCTAAATAATCTTGTTTCTGAAATATTCATGCCATGAAAGTTCATGCCAGAACTTATTGAATTTAGCATAGGAAGATAAAAACGCTGCAGTCATTGAATACTTAATAGCAATTACATAATTAGACGAAGCTCTGAAAGCAGCTAATCAGCATTGGCACAGACATTATTCGAGACTTTTATATTACTTAATATAACTGAAAAAGTATTTTGTACACATACAGGATGGTTCATTTTAATCGACAATCGGAAGTATTTCGTCAGGTAAGCCAGATCACAAAAAATGTTTCAACTAAAAGTTGTAGGTGTTAATGAAGGACACACACTGATGATTTTGACTTTGACTTTGAGGTCAATTTTCAAGGTTATTTGAAGGTCAACTTTGATTTTTCAAATAGGAACCACTATTTTTGACTTCAGAAATGAAAAGAGCGGAAAATTTTACGTTCAGATAGGTAAATTATGATAGGAGTCCCATGATATTTAAAGATCATTTTAAAGCCAAATACGAGGTTTGGCTATAAAATAACAAGATTGATGCTTCCATATAAGAAGTACGCATGCGCCAAACGCGAACGACCGACAGCTATATAACGTGAAGCCTTCTCTTTCGAATGCGGCGCCTCTCGTGTCTGTAAACGAATTAGACTGGCCGTGGCCTTCGTTTGTATAAGAGCTGTTGTTTTGTTTTGTCGGAAAAGTGATAAGTGTAAAAATAGAGCAACGAATCGTCGTGTAATTTCACATGAAACTTGGAAAAAGCGCTACTGAAACTTATCTTTTATTAAAAGAAGTGTATGGCAATGAATGTTTATCACGAACGCGAGTTTTTGAGTGGTGTAAGCGTTTCCAAGATGGCCGAGAAGACGTTGAAGATGATTCACGCCCGGGTCCACGCCCTTCCACGTCAAAAACGGATGAAAATATTGAAAAAGTCGGTAATCTGATTCGATCTGACCGTCGGTTAACTATTCGTGCGATTGCTGAAACTGTAGAAATTGACAAAGAATGCGTAAGGCAAATTTTACATAACAATTTTAACATGCAAAAAATGTGTGCGAAAATGGTGCTTAAAATTCTCACGATTGAACAAAAAGGAGCTCGCGAAAATGTTTGTACTGACACTTTGAATGCACATTGAAAATGACCCGAACTTCTTGGAAAGAGTGATAACATGTGACGAATCTTGGTTTTTCACTTATGATCCTGAAACTAAGCGCCAATCCATACATTGGAACGGCTCAACTTCACCGAGAGCTAAAAAAGCTCGAATGAGCAAATCAAGATTCAAAGCGATGATGATTGTTTTTCTCGATATTCATGGGGTTGTGTACCTTCACTGGGTTCCAGAAGGTCAAACTATTAATCAACGTTACTACCTTGAGGTTCTTGCTCAACTCCGTGAAAGAATAAGAAAAAAATGAATTTTGGAAGAACAAGCTCATTCTGCATTATCTGTCAAGACGTTTCTAGCCAAGTACAACATCCCAGTGTTAGACCATCCGCCTTATTCGCCAGACCTTGCACCATGCGACTTTTATCTGTTTCCCAAGGTCAAATCTACATCAAAAGGAACAAGATTTCAGTCCGTTTAAGCTGTGAAAGTAAAAACGGCACGCGTCATGAAGGAGCTCACAGAAGAAGACTTCCAGCACTGTTTTGAACAATGGAAAATTCGTATGAAGCGTTGTAGGGATAGAGGAGGGGTATATATTGAAGGTGATAATAACTAAAAATGTATAAATTCAAAATAAAATGTTTTGCCAAACGTTTAAAAGCATTAGGAATGATTCAAAAGCAAGGAAATTGGGTGCCGTACGAATTGAAGTCGAGAGACGTCAAACGGTGTTTTTCACGTGTGAACAGCTGCTCCAACGGCAGAAAAGGAAAGGTTTTTTGCATCGTGTCGTGACTGGCGATGAAAAGTGGTTACACTACCATAACCCGAAGTGTAGAAAATCGTGGGGTAAGCCCGGCCATACATCAACATCGACGGCAAAGCCGAATATCCATGGTTCCAAGCTCATGCTATGTATTTGATGGGATCAGCTGGGTATAGTATATTATGAGCTCCTCAAACCCAACGAAACTATCACGGGAGACTACATCTATCGACTACAATTGATGCGATTGAGCCGAACATTGAAGGAAAAACGGCCGCAATACGAGGAGAGACACGACAAAGTAATTTTGCAGCATGACAACGTTCGGCCACATGTTGCAAAACCGGTCAAAACCTATTTGGAAACGGTCAAATGGGAAGTCCTACCCCATCCGCCGTATTCACCGGACATTGCTCCTTCCGATTACAAATTGTTCCGATCGATGACTCATGGCCTGGCTGAGTAGCATTTCCATTCTTATGAAGATGCCAGAAAATGGGTCGATTCGTGGATAATCTCAAAAGATGAGTCATTCTTTCGACATGGTATTCGTATGCTGCCAAAAAGATAGAAGAAAGTAGTGGCTAGCGATGGACAATATTTTCAACCACATGCTCTTTACTAATATTCTAAATGAAGCATTCATTTTCGCGAAAAAACAGCAGAACTTATTCAAGTCCAATACTTTCATAACACAGTGAGAGTGTTATTTTAATACATCTAACCATTAACACACATACAAACAATTATATTTAACACATACATAAATATGTTCTTTTAACATACATATATGTGTTGATTTAATTTGCTGATTTTGTATGTCTAAAGTGGAGACATATTTTAACACGCTTCAAGCATATTATTGTAACACGCTTCAGTTTACAGTGATGCCGCGTCGTTGGCAGTTGATGAAACACTGCGCCTTTCAAAAATCTCTACAGATAAAAATTTGGAGGTAAGGTCGAATGATCTTCATGGCCACCAAATTGGACCATCCCGACCTATCCATCGATGAGGGAAAATGGTATCGAGGCGATTCCCGAGGGAAAATAAATTATGATTTAGGACTGTAAAGTTGACCTCTACGTGACCATCAAACGATAATCTAAGGTTAAGCCAAGATCACCGTCAAATGTTTCCCTCTGAACCCTACAACTTTTGTTTGAAACATTTTTCGCGACCTAACGACCTGGCTTACCTGACGAAATATTTTCGATTGTCGATTAAAATGGACCACCCTATATGTATACAATAAAGGGGGAAATGAGTAAGGGGAAAATAAATACTAACATGAACGTAATTTATTTTTAATTAGTCACCTGGATACTCAGTTATTGGATTCGGTAAATACTGGCTAGCGAACAGCATTTCTAATTGGCTCGGTCTTACCGGACCGTCTTATGTGATGGATACGGCCTGCAGTTCAAGCCACTACGCTATTGCGGAAGCTTTCAGAATGATACGAGGTGGAGAGTGCGACGCAGCTATCGTGGGTGGTGCTAATCTGTGTCTTCATCCCAATATAACGCTTCAATTTTTTCATCTCGGTAAGCTTGTAAATAATCTTATAAAATGTAAAATCATTACTTGTAAAGAAATCTATCGCTTACATATAAACGCTGTCATGGCGATAACTCGACGAAAGATCGCTTAATTGTTAACGGATTGAACAATTTTAGGAGTCCTCTCCGCGGATGGGTACTGCAAGCCCTTCGATGTGAGCGGTACGGGTTATATGCGCAGTGAAACAATCGCAGTAATATATCTGCAGAAAGCGAAGAACGCGAAACGAATCTATGCTACCCTCGTCTACTCTAAAACTAATTGCGATGGTTGGAAGCCAGAAGGGATTACATATCCTTCTCTCAGTATGCAAAAGAAATTATTGGAAGACTTTTACAATGATTGCGGCATCACACCCGAAGAGCTGTCCTACATGGAGGCCCACGCCACTGGTACTTTAGCAGGAGATCCGCCAGAAGTTGAGGCCATCGATCAGGCTTTATGTTCAAAGAGGACTACTCCCTTATTGGTGGGTTCGATAAAATCAAATCTCGGGCATTCTGAACCTGCTAGTGGCCTTTGTCAAGTGGTAAAAGTACGTATTTTAATTCCTTAACCAGCAAAAACACAAGACTTGCGTTCGCAAGAAACGAATTAGCACAGAACATATTACATTTTGATTTGTCTGGTAATTTAATATTTCTAAAATTGTACATTCAAAAACTTTGCGATCACTGTATCTAATGATGAGCTTAAAAATTTAACATGATAAATTTAATAATGTAACAGTCTTAAAATTGAAAAAACTATAAAGGTTCTCTAAAAAAGCTTTTAAACGCAGAGTTGAAGTCGCTTTTTCAGTGACAAAATTTAACACAGAAATACACTAAAATAGTTACACCGTAAACCAATAAATGACCAAAACAAAATTTTATCCACATATATTCAGGGTTGGGAAAAATACTTTTTAAAAGTAACTCGTTACCGTTACCGTTATTTTCGGTAAAAAGTAACTCATTACCGTTACTCGTTACTGGTCTTAAAAAATAATGCGTTACCATTACTTGAAAGTAACGATATTTTAAAATAACGACTTCGTTACTTTCTGTTACTTTTTCTTGTTGTAAAACCAGGAAGAAAGGTGCTAAGAAATCGGACACAAGATGATTAGAAACATGTATATCCAATCCAGTGGCGCTACAGCTCAAGTTCGAGCCATCCAGAGCTCCAGAAGTCTGGCCCTCCAAGCATCCCGGTCCATCGCATCCCGTCTCCATCTCCCCTCATTCAGCAGTGTCCTCTGCCATGCCGTCCTCGCATCTCGCCCTCGGTCTTCCCTTCGGTCGGCCTCCATATATTTTTGTCGTTAATATTCTCTTTGGTGTTCTTGTGTTTTCCATCCTTTGCACATGCCTGGGCCCAGCGAAGCCGCATGATCCTAATATGTTTAGATAATTTTGGTGTTCTATGTATTTCGAATAACTCCTGGTTATATCTCATCCTCCATATACCATTCTCTTGTATTGGGCTACATATCATACATAAAATTTTTCTTTCGAAAGCGTCTAGACATTCCACCATCTCTTTCGTGATTGCCCATGCTTCACATCCATACGTAATTACACTACGTATTAGTGTTTTATATAGCATAATTTTCGTATTTCTATGCACGTCTCTGGATTTTATCACTGGGAGTAGAGCATAGTATGCCCTATTTGCCTATTTGATTTTCAAGTTCACATCTTTGACTTCGTTATTGTCATTGGTTAATACCGATCCCAAATATTTGAACTCATTTGTTTCCTCGAGCTCATATTCACCGACGGCGAGTTTTTGTCCACTTTTTCTTCTCTTTCTAGATGTCACTAGTATTTTTGTTTTGTCTTCATTGATTCTTAATCCGATTTCTTTTGCTGCCTCTTCTAGAAGGTGAGTCTGACAGTTGCCCATGAGAGGCTTTATATTACGAATCAGTAGGTCTTGGATATCAGAAATATATATATATTTAAATATTTCTATTATTTTATATTATTAAGTGTTGTACCCAGTAAGCAACATGCTAGCAAAATGCGCACAGATTGACGCTAATTTCGATCAGATCGTCATATCAAAACCATAGCCATCTGTGTCCTCATTAGGCTCGTGTTTTGTCGACAGGACCTACGTGCAGACCATTCGAGCAGATTGTTGGAAGAAACTACGCAGGTCCTGCTGCCAAATTACGCGCAGAGTCTACGCGCAGAATTTGCTCGATTTCTGCCGCCAATCTGCCGTCAAATTACTACAAGTCTTGCGCGGTTTTTGCTACAAATCTGCCGTCAAATATCCGACAGCAGGATCTGGCGCATATTTGTCCGCAGATTGGTGGCATAATTTGATATAACAAATTCTGCATTAAATTTGTTGCCTATTTGACATCAAATTATGATAGCAGGCTTTGCTCGAAATCTGCTCGCACAGGTTTGGCTATTTGGGTACTAAATACGCCGATAAAAAAATAAGTATTTAATATTTTTTGTTGCTTAACAACATATCCAAAGCCCATCAAAATCGGTGAGGAACAGTTCCCACGGTTTCCTTATAAGAGGTTGTATGTGATATATTTCAACGTTTTTAAGGTGTTGATAGCGATGGAAACAGGCATTATTCCACCAACCATACACTACAAAACACCGCGAAAGGAACTGACTCCTATAATTGAAGGAAGAATGAATGTCGTCACTGAACCAACTTCATGGAACGGTGGTTACATTGGCATTAATAATTTCGGATTTGGCGGTGGAAACTGTCACATACTACTGAAATCAAATCCCAAAAATAAAATCAATGTTGGAATACCAGATGGCTTACCCAGACTCGTAGCGGTATCTGGTCGTACTGAGGAGGCTGTTCAGACTCTATTAGATGACGTAAGTAAATTTAACTAAAAACGTATTTTTAAAAACCAAATTAAAATAGAAATTATCCAAGATCAAAATGATTATTTCCGTGATAAGATGAATATGTCCAACTCTGCCGCGGTAGATGAATAGCCGACAGATAGACGTGGAATATGTGGCTCTTCTGCATAGCATTCATGCAGAAAATATTGAAGGGCATCCCTATAGAGGATATACTATTGCTGGACCTGAAGTTCCTGTTAACAAAATAAGAAAAGTTGAAAACTGCGCAAACCCAAGGAGACCAATCTGCTTTGTACTTCCTGGAACAGAAGTTGAGTGGCGTAACATAGGTACGAAAGCAACTATTACGAATATTTTAGTTTCAATACATAAATTTGATGGAATGGATATATACAACTCCATGTATACAATATCCTTCATATATGATTAATATGTTTGCTTTTGATATATTAAAGAACTGATGAAACTACCAGTGTTTGCAAAGGCAATAAAGAAATGTAATGAAACATTAAAGCAGCGGGATATATGTGTTACGGATATTATAAAAAACAAAAATAAAACTACCAGCAATAGCATCGTAGAATCATTTGTAGCAATCATTGCCATACAGGTATAAGAAAGAAATATCAATTATTTTATATTCACAATATATAAAATGCTTGACTAAGCACAGTCCAACATATAAATTATTTAAGTACTCGTGTGTGTGTGTGTGTGTATATTTATATCGGTATTTAGCCACGTAAAACCATGTAAACGTATGATGTAATAGCCTCTCAATTAAAAGCCAATACTTTTATCAACAACATTTTAGATTGGAATAGTGGATATCTTAACACACATTGGTATTCTATCCGATTACACGATAGGTCAGTCTATTGGCCAACTTATATCCGAATATGTTGATGGACGTTTCACTATCGAGACAACAATTTTGACGGCGTATTTCATAGGCACGGCATTTGAGCAGGCCATGTCTCAGGTTTTAACGACTTTTGAATTCATTTTAATTACTAATTTCCGCTTTCCTTATGTGGAGCAATTGTTTATGTATGTTTCATTTATACATACTTATGAAACCAGATATAATAATATTGATCATTGCTCCTCAGGTTGATGACATTACTACGAATCAAGGCAACTATCTTGATGTTGTTAGATCAAAACTCTTGGAACATCTCTACCGAATATTACCAGCGAACTTTCCAAACAGTCGCGGTGTAACACAGTTGGGCAGGTCACGAAGCGAACGCGACAAGTTTGAGACCGCTGCAGAATATTATGTAGACATTATACTGAATCCAGTACCATTACAAAAAATTACAGCTTTGTTACCGAAAGATACGATACTCGTCGACATAGTACCACACAATACTTTTCAGCCACTCATACCAAACTTGCAGTCAGTGATAACGTTGATTTCACTCTATAAACGCGGTCAAAAGCATACTATGCAAAACTTTTTAGAAGGAATCGGAGATCTTTATAATGTAGGACTTCAGCCACAGATTGCAAGTTTGTATCCGCCAGTGCAATTTCCTGTTAGTCGGGGAACACCAATGATATCTCCTCTCATTAGGTCCGCCTTTTCTTGAAATATAAGTATAAGAAAACGAATCACGATTCTTTGTTTACATTACTAATTTTAAAACAATATTGCAGATGGAATCACTCTGAGGACTATTACTTGTACCATTATGCAGGTGAAAGTAAAATTTTCAGCAGAGAAAGAATCGTCACTATTACAACCGCTGATGCAGATTTTGATTATATGTCTGACCATATAATCGATGGAAGAAATTTGTTACCAGCTATGGGTTACCTTTACGAAATTTGGCATACTATTGGTTTGTTGAGCGGCATTGATCATAGAAACATACCTATTGTATTTGAAAATGTTAAATTCATACGCGCTACTCACTTATCACGACGAGACAAGCTGGACTTAACTATTATGATCCAAGAAGGTAAATACTTTTGCAATTACCCGAGACTCAATTCTCGATATTCCGTTACAGTGATATTGTGACATAACATTAACAATAATATAATCAACATTAAGAAAAAAGATGGAAAAACATTGCGAAGTCGCAGTGGGATTCAATTTCCTGCAACAACAAAATTGTCTTCAACAATAGAAATCAAGTCGATGTAATAGATTCAGAGAAATAGTGATATTATCGTGTAATAATTGTAATACTTTTACAGGCGGTAATAATTTCGAGATTATAGAGGGAGAGAATGTAATCGTCAGTGGAGTCGTGAGGGTGCCTGACGATATCGTGAAAGAGAAAATATCCGTTCAGTTTCTACCGAAAAACGAAGATGATGAAGAATGCATGAATGCTGCAGATATTTACAAGGAACTACGACTCCGTGGCTACCAGTATAATGGTCTATTTCGTTCATTAAAAAGCTCCTCAATTAATGGAAGTACAGGACATATCACGTGGGCAACAAATTGGGTAGCGTTTATGGACAATATGCTGCAAATAAAACTCTTATCGGTTGACTCGAGAAATCTTTACGTACCGACTCAAATTCGTAAATTGGTAATCGACCCTGCACATCATATGACGCAGTTTCATAACCTCTCTATTGAAGAAAGAAGTAAGAACGCACAATTTAATTTAAAATATTTTCGTATTTTGCAATATTTTGCTCTTCATGCAGGTTTCCTATTGTCATCTCCATATTGTGAATTTTATTACAGATGTACCCGTACGTGTCTATGATTCTTTCGACGCCATTATATCCGGAGGAATTGAAATTTGTGGGCTGAAGTCCATGGTCATATCCCGCCGATCGACGAACGTCGAATCTGTACACGAAGAATACAAGTTCATTGCTCACCGCGATCATAACACGATCTCTTTGAAAGATGCGGTGCAAATATCGATACACATCGCGCTTGAATGTTACAATTTGAGAAACGTCAAAGTGATCGAGTTTGTCGAGGACGATGACAAGATTCTACTGGAGGATCTAGTTATTCCAATTGTAGACAAAGTTCTGAGCAACTTGCCATTAGTGCGATCTAATCTGACGTTGGCTGCGATGGAGAACAGATTCGACTGCTCTTTGTTACCACAAAATCTATCGGTCGTACAACCTAACAAACTGTTAAACGACGGTACGTTCCTAATGGTTGTTGGAGTTGGAGTATTAACGAAAGGTGCACACACATTACTATCTAATATAATGGCTGGTGGCTTTCTGTTTACCCGAGAGGACCTCAATGTCACATATGACAACGAGTTGCTCCAACAGTACAATTTGAATATCATTTTGGAGAAACGCACGGAACGGGAGTTGGTGTTGCTTCTGAGAAAGGCGCAAAGTGCAATAATAAAAAGAGAAATCGTGCATATAAACAATTACGAGTTTTCGTGGATCGAAAAGCTCAAATCTTCATTGGACACGGACGACGAGACGAACTCACGAGTAACACTTGTTGTGGAAGATGATCCTGAGTGCGGTGTCATAGGATTTGTAAATTGTTTGCGAAAGGAGCCAGGCGGCGACACAGTTAGATGCGTCTTCATTCAGGATAAGAACGCGCCCAAGTTCTCCTTGCAAGAGCCTTTTTACATGAATCAGTTGCGACTGGACTTACCCATTAATGTCTTACGTCCCGGCAAAGTTTGGGGCTCTTACAGACACTTGTCATTACCGCCGCCGGAACCCATACCCGTGCAGTGCGGTTACGTTGCTCAAAGGGTACGTAAGTGTTTTGTATACGATAACAAAGTGGACACTGAAAGAAATTTGCATAAAACTTGATCTATCTTTGTGCGGAAAACGTCGAAACAACTCAATTTTAGTCAAAACCATTCCTTTACAACAATTTTTTTGTATTAATAATAATACGAAATTATATCGTCAACTTAATTCCTATTAGATCCGAGGTGATATGAGCACAATCCGTTGGGTCGAAGGACGGACATCTCCCAAACTCAACCGCGAAAATATGATACATAAAATTTACGTGGCACTGAATTTCAAAGATATTATGATAGCTACTGGTAAACTGGCGTTGGAATCCTTTCAAATGATTGAACGAGAAATCGATTCTTTCTTAGGCTTTGAATTTGTCGGATATGATGGGTTTGGACAAAGAATAATGGCGATATGCTCCGATAGGTGGGATGATATAATACAAAATATAGTTATTATATCATAGATATAAATTCAATAACAATGTTGTATTGAAGGATATTAGATTTAGCACTAATGTAGATATGAAATGCAGTTATCAATTTTCCCTCCATGATTGAAAGACGACGTCAACTTGAATGAAAACATAATTTATATTTTTAGAGGAATATCAAATGTTGCAATCCAGGACCGCGTGATGTCTTGGGTTATTCCCGATGAATGGACATTCGAGGATGCTGCTACAGTTCCGTGTGTTTATGCTACAAGCTGCTACGCTCTCTACGAGAAAGGAAAAATGAAGAGAGGAGACAAAGTTCTCATTCATTCGGGCACCGGCGGTATTGGTCAAGCCGCGATCCACCTCGCGCTGTACGAAAAGTGCGAAGTATTCACAACAGTCGGAACTTTGAAGAAACGGCAATTCATTAGAGAAACTTTTCCTTCGATCCTTGACGATCATATCGGCAATTCTCGTGACACAAGTTTCGAACAAATGATACTTGAGCAGACACGCGGTCGGGGAGTTGATATCGTATTGAATTCCTTAGCTGAGGAGAAGCTTCAGGCGTCTATTCGCTGCTTGGCAAAAGGCGGTCGATTCTTGGAAATAGGAAAATATGACTTGATCGCCGATAATACTTTAGATAGAATGATTTTTACGAAAGGCATCAGTTTTCATGCGATTATGTTAGACAATATAATAAGTTCCGTCTCAAAGAATTACGGAATTGTATATAATTATGTGTTACAATGTCTAAAAAATGGCTCGATAAAACCTCTTCCAAGGAAAGTCTTTGAAAAGACCGAAGTAGAAGATGCCTTCAGGTATATGGCAACTGGCAAGCACATAGGAAAGGTAATTTCTCGCGCACACTAGAAATTCATGTTTTTAATGTTATCGCAACAGCTGCTCTATATATGATCGCAATGAAATTCTGTTATTATCATTCTTATTTTCAGATCCTGATAAAGATATGCGATGAAAACGAGCCATTGAGTCTTCCTATTCTCGCTTATCCCCGATTTTTCTGCAAGTCTCATATGTCTTACATCATTTTGGGCGGATTAGGCGGCTTTGGTCTAGAATTGGCCGACTGGCTGATTCTTCGCGGAGCAAAGAATCTTCTTCTCACTTCGCGGACAGGATTGCGAAACGGTTACCAGCGCTCGAGGGTGGAATTATGGAAGTCCTACGGGGTGAATGTGCAGATTATCGCGAGCGCTGAAGCGTCTGATCACAAAGACGGCGCGTCCATCCTGAACACTGCCATTGAAATGGGACCGGTGGACGCTATATTCAATCTTGCCGTAGTGCTGAAAGATTCTCTCTACAAGAATCAGACAACTGAGTCCTTCGAGGAATCATTTAAACCGAAAGCAATGGCGACGAAAACAATGGACGAGTTGTCCAGGAAAATGTGCCCTGACCTCCGGTACTTTGTTGTCTTCTCATCCGTTTCGTGCGGCCGAGGAAACTCCGGCCAAACTAATTACGGTATGGCCAATTCCATCATGGAGAGAATATGCGAGAGAAGAGTACAAGACGGATTACCTGGGATGGCTATACAGTGGGGCGCGGTGGGTGATGTGGGTCTCGTGGCCGATATGCAAAAGGACAATAAGGAACTGATCATCGGCGGTACTTTACAACAGAAAATACAGTCCTGTCTGCAGTCGCTGGACACTTTCATGGTTCTAAATAAGCCGATCGTGGGTAGTATGGTTGTGGCAGAGAAGCGCGCGACATTTGGTGGAGTGATGGACATTATGGAAACTGTAGCTAGTATCATGGGTAATTTTTTCATCATAAACGTGACAAATCTGATGATCATTTCGAAAACTTTTTACGATAAAACATTGAAATTAAAGTTAAAAAATTACAATTAATGACACACATAATGTTAATTGTATTCAGGGTGTTTCACAGAATCCTAACAATTAATATCTATTGTATTTTGGAAAATACAAAAGAATAAGACAGCGTAAGTAAAAGTTGAATGTTCTCATAAGCATTATTGTCTTATGAAGTCAATTTTTTGGTAGCGCAGTGACGAGAAGAATGCAGCTACATTTTTATCTTAAACTGAAGCCCCTGATTTTTCTTTGTACAAGTTAAAATATTCTGCAGAAAGTAAGTAGTTAAATGAATAGACATTTCAGATTCAGATTTTAAAGTAAATATTCGAATGTTCCATCGTACAACAAACATTTGGCAACATTACGGATATGAGACGATATATAATTGCAGCATTTATAGCATTCTTATCACAAAACACAAAAATGGTGAACATGTCTGCTTTTGTTCATTGTTTAAAACTTTCATAATGATATATTTTCTTCATTGAATTACAACTCGTTACTGCGTACGATTCTTATTGTTAGACAGGCGTAGACGGTACAATTTTTTCGACGCAATTGAATATTTACAAACAGTGTTCGAAATATCCTTCTAGACACTCGATGCCAAATGTTTATTGTATGGTGGAACGTTCAAACATTTACTTTAATAAATCTTAAATGTCTTATTAACTACTCATTTTTTGGTCATCTTATCCTGCTACCTTTTTACGGAGAATATTTAAAATATCTATTTATACAAAAAATTTACGAAAAATATTTTAAAAATCTACTTATACAAAAAATAAAGGAGTTCTATTTAAAATAAAAATGCAATTATATTTTTATGGTCCAACCTTCATTGCACCAATAAAAAATCAATTTCATAAAAAAATAGTGTGCCCACTCAATTCAAGATTAGGATTCAACTTTTCCTTACATCATTTTTTTCTACTGTCCGAAGTGTAATAGATATTAAATGTTACTGTTTTATAAAACACCTATGGCAAGAATGATGTGTGTATTCTTTCTCATACCTTTTGTTGTGATTTATGTGATCATGATAAAAATCCAAGAGCCTTATCTTCTCCTGTCTTTGCTTACTTAGGAATAAAAGATGTGAAAGCGGTTGGACTTCGCACCCCCCTGTCAGAGATGGGTATGGATTCAATGATGGCGGTAGAGATCAAGCAAACGTTGGAGAAAGAATTCGACGTTTATCTTACCGCGCAGGACATTAGAACTCTCACTTTAGAGAAACTCCACAATATGGCCGATAAAGACAAGCGTTTTGAGCAGATTGAGACACTCGATTCAGAGGGTATAAAATTTTTAATTCGTTTAATCAATAATTTAGACATAGTTCCAGATGTTTGCTTGGAGACAACTACGAGAAATAAAATGGGCACAAAGCGGATATTTCTTCTACCAGGAATCGAAGGTTGCGGGAGCGTATTTAATTTGTTGGCTTCGAAAATCGAAGGTCCCGTGACATGTTTGCAGCACGGAGCAAACAATATCCCCACGAGTGAATCTGTATTGCAGTCGGCTGCCAGTCTGTTACCTGTACGTATTAATATAACAGGGAAGTTGCCTTTTCGATATTTCCGTGATTCCATTCCACTAGACTGGAATTGCGTCACGTCGATCAAGAAACTAATAAGAAAAAAAGAACATTAATATTTCTTTCTTTTTTTGTAGCATATAATATCAAAGATGGAGGGTTCTGCGGAATTCATAATAGTTGGGTATTCATACGGGTCGTTAATCGCTATCGAGTTGATGAGATTGTTGGAGGCGAGAAATTTCACAGGACGGTTAATATTAATTGATGGCACACCGGATTATATGAAAACTCTGAAAGATCAATATTTTCCTTTCACGAATCTTCAGGAATTTCAGAATAATGTTCTCCTAGGCCTTATAGATCTCTTCTACTCTGTCGATAATACATCGGTATGTTGTGTATGGTGAATTTATTGTTATAATATAAGACACGTAATAACGATAATTGTTAACAGGTTCTATTAGAATTGTCTAAACACGACACGTGGGAAAAAAAATGGGATGCTGTCGTCAAATGTCTTTCAGACGATATTGTGCAAGTAACTTCTCTTGAAAATTACAAAATTTATTGTACAACGATTTATAAGCATCTGATCGCTATTCACGAGTATGATGCTTCCTCATTACCGCCACTGAAATCGCCTATACTATTACTAAAACCTACAACGTCCAACCTGCCTTCTGCCGACGAAAATAGCGACTTGAAAAAGGTAATCTTAATATAAGGACGCATATCGATGTATCCGCCTTTGAAAATCAATTGACGACAAAATTAATTATTATTCAGGTGACTGAAGGTAACGTGCAAGTTCGTCGTGTCGAAGGTAATCATCTCACGATGTTGGAAAATGATGAACTTGCTGATATTATTAACGAAATATTATCTTGAGAAGTTAATCTTTATAATGTTACAAAAGTTCGTAATTCTGTAAATCGAAGGTATCAAGGTGTGTGGAAAGGGAAGGAGAATACGCAGAATATTTATTATAAACAAGGCAATAATAAAATATTATGGTAAAATACTCGATTATTTATTCATCGTGCATGATTAATAAACAAGTATAAATAACTTTCGTCGCCAATATGGAGAAACGTTTATAACTCTAAAAAAGGATTGCTTACTTTTGTTTGATATTTATTCTAAATTCACGCATTGCGGCTTTAAATGGCTTCCTATTTTTATACTTTCGTACATTACGTGTCGTCGTTGACATTTTTCCGTTCTTACTTTAGGTAACATTTAAGTCTCTACTTAACATTCTTTTCTACATTAATTCTGGTCAACTTTGGATTTATATTTGATAAATATATATTCTGATAAACTGGAATAAATTGATATATGCTATGTATTCTGCTATAACGTTTATGATAAATATACCGGATAGGAGATCCACCTGCAATGACCTTTATCTTTACATATATTTGCAAGATCTCCCTCCTGAGGCCGGATTTATCCCTACTTATATGTACCACTGATTAATATCGCATTTACATTTTTGAACTTAAGGGATGCTGGGTACCTATTATGGAATTCGTCGAAATCGATTCCGATTGTAATAATTCCGTTCCCCTAGAAAAGACAATAGGATCTAGGAAATAACGGAATAAATCCGATCGGAATCGATTCCGACGAGTTCCATAATAGGTACCCTGAACGCTTTGTCGACAGAGAACTGTCAAAATTTGATATTTTTTCTGCAAAGTTTACGTCGTCTTAAATGCTTCAGAATTAAAATGCTTTTACACGATAAAAGTACGTACAAAAATTAATTGGAGCATCACTCAATATATGACGAAAGCGATAAAAAATTTTTAAATTAAAATTTCGAATTGACAGTTAGCGTAATATTTATCTAATACAAAAGTTTTGCAACTTGTATGTACTGAAACTCTGAATGCTCGAAAGAAGGAAAAATTTACAAATCGTTTCTAACAACTCAAAATTTAGGTAGGAAACCTAAAACACATAAAAACTTTGCAGAAAAAATTTTAATATATGCGGTTAGGTCTTCTGCTCTTGCTATAATCAAGAATATATTACTATAATAGTGTTCCTAACTTTTGTTAATGTAATAATTCTGAAATTTCCAAAAGCCTATAAGTTAACAAAAGTTAGGGCACTATTATAATAATATATTCTTGATAGTAAATAAAAGTAGAAAGTCTAATACTATTTTTCTGTCGACGAATAGTTAGCGAGATATCGTAAGTTAAATGTTGAAAAAGTTACCAAGTTTCCCTTAAATATTTCTAAAAAATATTAGGCAAATAAAAAAATGTTTCAGACAAAAGTTGTTCAAATTAATTGGTAGAAAAAGAAGATATAATAAAAAATTAGGCTTCCAACTTAAAAAATTAAGTTGACCTTCAACCAACTTTGAAAATGCCTTCCAAATAAAAAA